TGTAATCCATGATAGAATTTTTTGAAAATTTGTGATTTTTTTTTTTAATCCATGATCGAATTTTTTTTTGTAATCCATGATAGAATTTTTTGAAAATTTGTGATTTTTTTTTTTAATCCATGATCGATTTTTTTGAAAATTTATTTTTTTGTTTTTTAATCCATATTATTCAAAGAGAAAATGAGAGAGATGATGATTCTGAAGCCACCCTATCTCAGCCATATTATTCACATATCGAGTCCCAACAGCAACAGTGTAGGGATGAGCACGACAGTGCAGGTGAGCATGAAGGATGGACAATCTTCGGGGATTTTAGATTGGAAACACAACAAAACTCTAACATTTAGGGATTTGGGAATAGTCAAACGCCTGCTAATATCGATGATTCGTTTTTAGATCGAATCAATGAATTGTTAAACAAATTCAATCAATGGCACTAGCGTGACCAAGAAGAAGTCTATCATTTTATTTTTAGATCATATGTTACTAATTTTATGCTTTATTGTAGTCTATATATGTTGATATACTTATTCCATGATAATTCTATGTTTATCCTTTTGTGTGATGTAAATTAAATCCTGAATGGCCGTTCATGCAGGGAAAGAACATATCAATATTCGCATATTCTTTCAAAAACATAAAAATTCTTAATGGAGTACCCTCATTTCTTATTGAATTCCTAAAAAACAATATTTATAATGAATTTTAATAAGTTTTTCGGATTTTTTTTAAGCTTTATTTTGACCGATTCACCTGATTTCCGATCCGAATCGTCGATTCGCTGATCCGAATCGGCTTTTTGAGAACCCGATCCGAGTCACCGATCCGTTTTTAACCCATTGGTTTTACATATTAAAATGTTATTATGGTGAGCGTCATATCTGAGCCAGAGCATCGTCGGTATACCAGCAATTACATATTCAATAGTATATTTCCTATTCGTTTGTTATTAAAGATGAAGATGCAAATAGAATACTACCACTGGAGTGTTGAGTTTATTTAGATATCCCATAATATAACACTTGAATATCTGAATATCTAAGTAATTGAAAGAATAGTGGGGCTATAGCTGCTCCCAGTTAAAAATAACACATATAACATGTACTTTCTCAGCATGCTCATGCCTATGTCATGAGGTAGCACAACAAGTCTCATGCCAAAAAATAACTCAAAGCCCGTTGGTTTCACAATATGCAAAACCTCCCTAAACCACAAAAGGTTCAACCATATTAGTCTCTTGATAGTAAATTTATACAAATCAAGTAATCTTTTCCACACAACATGTGTCAAGGAGGCCTACCACTATGGCCTTCCTATGACATTCCCTACGGTTCATGGTCTTAGGTAATCGAGGTTTCCAAAGAGCTGACTAACACGACACATAGTCAATACAATAAAATATGAGTCAAGAATTATGGGTATTTAAAACCATTGCATAGATAAAAGAGACTTTCTCCCATATTTATAAAATATTTTCAAGACCCAATGATTTTTTTTTTGTCAAAATTCTTGACTTGGTATATTTTCACAAGCAATAGTTAGAGAATAATAGGACGGTTTATAATGTTTTTCAATAAAGACTTAGTGAACCTCACAAGACAATGGGGTTTTCACAAAACCATATTCGTAGACCAAGGTTTTTTAACATAAATGGTCCAATCTTAATTCAAAACAATATCCTTACTCTTCAAACAATATTTTACCATATACACTTTGAATTATTTACCATGTCATGTTATGGCCACCATACAAAACATAAAATCCATCATATAATTTTATCCAGCGAAACACAACTAAAATGTGTTTATCAAAAGTATCTAAATACGCATATTTTCTTGGCAAATGTTTAGAAACTTTCACATGAGATCCTCATGACATGCATCAACCCATATCACCCAACATTATTTAGAGGATGGTTCACCAAGACCGGGTTTTATCATAACACTCCCTTTATGCTACATATTTGAATGAGTCATACCATCTGTCATGTTTGGTACTTAGGTCAAATAGATCTTGATCAAGCCACATCTCTATGTGCCTTACTACCTTAAGTAGTTCACACAAGCACAAAGAGGAAACAAAATACAAGGCATCAAAAAACTAGCTTTTTCAAACTTGTTTGCACCTATCAATTAATATCCATGCACTTCATGCATATGCCCAAAACCAGCCAAGATATAAAAGAAGCATAAAGGATAATAAATCATATTTCCCTATATGACCTTACCATGCATATGGGATAGATTTCATATCTCATAGTGTGTGGTATTGGGGCATATTTGATCTTGGCTTTTCTTGTTGAGGAATTGTGGTAGTCTTGGGAGAGCACACAGCTGATGAGAATCACTTAGTCATCGAAGTGTCCATCTCTTCGGTCTTTAGATTTTCTCTTTTTTATAACATGAAGAAACACTCGTCTTCATGCCATCACTCCAAAAATAATAATTTTGATTCTACCACTGACTTTTGGAGTTTCAATGCTACCACCAAGTCTCTCTACATATCCCTTAATTGTGAAGATGCATTTATATGTTTTATGTTTCTTCTATTTTTTGTAGTCCCCAAATTAAGTACCCCTAAAATAGAGGGTCATATCACCTCAACATTGTATTACCTCTCTTTGAAGTCTTATTGAAATCATAATCATGACACACTATAAAACCTGAATGAGCCTAAAAAGGCTTCCATTACGAAGAATACAAAGATGTGTCTTAACATGTCAAATCTTTCGATTTTCTGCATAGTAGAAGATGAGTATCCTATGAAAAAATATGATATCTCTCACCTCAAAAAGAGTGTCTTTGAAAATTTTTGGAGTATAGAAATAGACTCAAAATCAGTACTCAGTGCCATCCCTCACTCACACCATATAATGAATCGATTAATTATTGACATTAACATCACAATACATATTTCACATAAGAAAATTAGGTTGTCACAGCTCAATAAAATATGTATTTCTTTCAATTCCTTGAAGAATTTATTCCTCAACCTTTTCTGTTGAAATCTAGATTCGTAGCCAAAACGTAACATTATGATGTGAATCCCTAAAGATAAACTTCTTCTTGGAAATAAATAAGTGACATTCACGTCACAAAATATGTTATAATGTATAATTCCAAGAACAACACTACTTAGTAATATTGTATTTTCCTTCTACCCACCAGGAGTTTTTCTTCTAAACTTCTTCTGTTTTAAAGTAGATATAAAAAAGCAACAAATATCCTTCTGCAAGCCCCATATCACTATGTTAGATATAAAAAAGCAACAAATATCACCATATCACTATGTTAAATAGCCATGAAAAGTATAGATATTCACATCTTAATGACTCAAAATAGAAGTTTAAAGACTCATTGTAGGCCTCAAAACATTCTATTAATAATAAAAATAAAATCCTGAAATTCATGCCATTCAGACAGTTTTCGTTGCAGGAAACAACACTTGCACACTCTTTAATAAAATGAGTATATTTTCCAAATCAAAAAGGTTTTCTCATGATTTTTTTTGTTTATTAAATAGACTCATTTTCATGAGGTACAATTAAATGTTACTCATAAATAAAATTATTTTCATGGAACTCAGTGTACAGTTACTGGATTTTACAGGGTCAAAATTGGCACTCCTCAGTTCTTAGTCCATAACTCTTAATTCCCCCAAGATCTCCCACTGAAAGTTTGCAGGAAGATCCAACTCTCAAAAACACAAAATATAATTGAAATATGCACCAAATAAATGTCCAATCCTTTTATTCATATCAGTGGTCCAAAAGAGCAAAAAAATCCATATTTTGCAGAGTGCCTTTTTAGTATCGGAATCATGCCAATAATCTTTTTAGAGGATTTCCATATGAACATAAACCCATGGTCATTGAAATCACGACTTTCAACTCACCAAAATAGTGAAATAAAAGAGATATGGCAACAAGATATCTAGTTTTAATACCAATGAAAGTTTGACAAAGTGATCTAGCGTGGTGCATGTAGATTTAAATTTTTTCAATTTCTCATCTACTAGAACACATACAAATGTCGAAGAACAATAAAACTTACTTGAAATAAACAAATAAAGAACCAAAAATAGTTCTCACTTGTTGCCACTAATTACAACTTATTTTATTCCATAAATAAAATCATCATAATGATTATGGGAATAAGAAAGTATAAGAAATAAAATATTGCATCCCACAAATCAAGATGTCGGAAGATTACCTCGATTGGACTTAGTACACTACACACCAGGTCTCCTCCAATGACACACGAGATCAATAGTCTATCTCAAATCTTTGAAGCATGGGAAAACCTTGACTACGACCCTTAATCAATATGAGAGCAACATGGAACATCACATAAACCACAAGGCCTCAATACCTTGTATGTGTGGTGCATGCCTCCTCTTTAAGGCGTGCCCCTATTTCTAACTCAAGAAATATTTTTCTAAGAGAGAGATCTTAGGGAGAAGAGAGGGAGATAAGAGGTATAGGGATTTATGAGAAAGCGAGCCCCTACTTATAGAGTTTCTAGGGATTAGGGTTTCCTTAGGGTCAGCCATTTTATGGAGAATAGATCCAGATCATTGATCATACAAGACCTGTTGGGTAAGAGATCTGAGCCATCCAATCCTTAGATTAGGCACCATGATTCAAAGGTAGGTCCTAGAACTTTATCCTTCAGCTTCCTAAACGCTATAAGTATTAAAGATGTCAGAAATATTAGATAATCTTTGTTTTATTAGATAATATTTGTCTTATTAGATAATATATGTCTTTGTACAAATCTCTTTATTTATACATATCCTTTTGAAAATTCAATCTTGTTATCCAAAAAATTTCCATAACACGTATCATGTTTAATTAAGAAGATATAGAAAAAGATATCCTCACTATGTGTAGCGTGATATCCATGAGACTCCAAGTGGGCTCCACATGCATATTCCATGTGGATCTATGGTGGGGTGCCCATGGGCCGCCATATCATATATAATTTATGAAAATAAAAAATTGATTTTTAGTATATGACAAATAAATTTTATTTCTCTATGAATATTTAATATTAAAGATAATATTTCTTAATTTATAAATTTATTTTATAAAAAAATATATCTAGAGATTCATAAAAAGTCATATAATCAATTTAAAAATCATTTCACATCAAAATAATTAAAACCCAATAATTTTGGGAATCAGGTACATCTGAGTCTAGAAATTATAATATCACTGAAGCATTCCATCTTGTATTGTGAACTGTAATCCACACTAGCTTTCTCAAACTGACCAAGCAATTCCCATGACACACTGACCATTACAAGGTTTATGATACCAAAGTCTGCCAATAAACTTGATGACACAATCGCAGTCTATAGATTATAGGTTCTCCCCTAGAGAGGAGTCCAAAGTCACACAGACTTGATGCAACTATAACTTTATGGTGCATTGAGGTAATCTCTCGCACATGAACGTGTTTCACCTTCAATAGTGACTTGTTTTTTCGATACGGCTATCATATGTATGTGCCTTATGATGGTTCAATGATGAGGATTTGGCCATCGTCTCTAAAGGCCAACCATCACGCATAAAGGTAACAAAGTCCCTTAGCTCACACACCTGGGAAACACTGACCTCATCAAGAGATAACCTATAAAACCATAGTTAGCTTTTATTACATGCCTAAGTAACAAGGGTTTTCCAACTCGACTGGCTTAGCACGTCAAGCAAAGTCTGAGTATTGGTAAATAACATTTATCTATCTCGGTCCCTCTGGACCATAATTTCTTGCTCCCTTAGTACCATTTTCTCTTGGTCCTTTAGGACCACACTCCCATTAGAGTTATTTGTTGCACTAGGATATTGATTACATGCTCTCATAAAACCATTGTGGTCAGAAAACCCCCAACAGTTTTGGTACTAATGATACCATTTGTTTCAAATATTAGAATTTGTGTATATTTTCGCAATAGAGCTCCACTATTGTTTGGAGAGAAAAAGCTAAAGAGACCTCGACCCTCACACTCCTGAAGAAAATATAGTAGGTAGCCGAACGAAAAGGGCGGCGAGAGGTGGAGAAAGCAAGTTTACGTATCTAAATTGAGAAAGTAGTCTAGGGATCGGGGGAATGCAATTTTACAATAGCACCCCAAAACAAGATATCTATACATTTTATAGATGGATATTGCAGAACGGTTGTCCCGCCCAAATTTTAAATCGACGAGTTCAGAATATATAACTAGTACTCATGTTTTAATTCTAAAGGTTACTTCTTTCTTAAGATTAGTACTCATCATAATTGAGATTTTTATTTTCTAGAATTTTAAATCCAAAATCCACAGGTTAGTGCCCATCATAATTGAGATTTTCATTTTCTAGAATTTTGAATCCAAAATCCACTTTTAAAATAGATTTTAGAGAGAGATCACATTTAAATAGATTGGTCAGCAGACTCATAGAAATCATGTGCATTTAAATTACTTTCGTTCTTATGTTCAACGACAAACTAAATCACAATATTTATGTTTTGTATTTATAGGCCACTCTTGAACAATTTGTAAAATAGGATATTACTTCAAAGTGTCCTATGGTTTATGCCTCTTGTCGATAATCAAGAGCAAGCATATTTATCGGCAGGATTGGAATGGAATCTGAACCATGAGGGGTTTAGTTTAATCAAAAGTTGTTGGATTAACAATTGAACTAGTTAAACTATAATTTAAAAAAGTATATGTAAAATAAGAAAATAGTTAGAAATGTGAAATTATTAAGAAAGAATTCTTCAACTTCTTTGACCGGCTGAACCAGCCAAAATGCGATCCTCAAATAGGTAAAAAATGTCAAATATTGACTTTGACAGGTTTTCGAGCAAATCATATATTTTGTTAGACAGGACAGTATGTGCAAGGGAAAGAAGGGTTCTTATTTGGATTTGTCGTAGTCATAATGATAGGTCTATTACGATCAATATGATCATGTCAACATTACGGCAAAAGGGGTTTTTACCACACCATCAGTGTTATGGGGATCCAGCGAAATTGGCACCTAGAGCTGAATTCATGACATGTTTGGAACATCTTAATCTTCATCCATCTCTGTACAGTTGGATGGCCTAAATCCTAAATCTATGATAATATATTACAAGGATCAGAGAGGTCATAATGTCGGTAAAAGGAGGTCACAATAACTGTTATCTCGTGGATGTGAAATTTAGGTGGCCGGAAATATTTTGCCATCGACTAGCTACGAAATCCTAAAAAGATTTACCCTAACTTCGTGACATACTCCAAACTATTATATTTGGGTGCAGTTTGCATACGGATGCATCCATAGGTGTAGAGGTAAGGTGCACCTTCAAATTTTATCATGGTATATAATTTTGATGTAAAATGTTCTTAAGATTATCTCAGAATATATTTTTATATCTAATTATAAAATTTTAAATTTTAAAAATGGTTAAAATCAAGTAGATCTATAAACATATGAAAATCTTGAAAATGGACGGTGTAGATAATATGTTGTAAAATGCACTATTTCAGAGACTTAAAATCTTTTTATAGTCTTTTTACTTTTAATAGTCATACATCTCGTTGTCGAGATGATTGATCAAAAGGTTTTTCAACATTAAAACGACCTCTTCCGATGGATTTTTGAAGGGCATCCGTAGTTCTGCATTATAAGGTAGTATCCTTATATAAACTTTTTCCATTATATTTTCAGAAACAGTGATTTCAACCTTTTATTAGCTTAGCATAAATAATCCAGTAAAATCTCAATTTTGTATGTACCTTGACTTTGTCCATGTATAACTCTTGGGCAATAATCTTTCGCTGTCGTCTCCAATTTTCTCCATTTGCCATTAAAATGCCTTTGCCAAACAATGCTGCTCTGTGCTTACCCCACGCTCGCGGCTTCCCCAATTCCATGGACGTGCACATGCTCATCTCCTTTATCATATCAGGATCTCCTACGTACAAGAATACTGTAGTCCCCGAGCTGTAAGTAAATGTGGAGCCTGTTTAAGTCAATTTATCAGTTAATTAATTAATCAAGGATATTATGGATCATTTGTCAATTATCAGTTAATAACTTATCAAGCATGTTGAGCAGTACTTTTCATATTTGGTACCTCAATAATATATTTTATATACTATTTAGAATATTGTTTTGATTATATATTGATTATGTCCCGTCGCGATAATAAAAATTGAGCATCTCTTAAGCTCTTGCCATTATCAAATTGCTTATTTCTTAATCTTATGAGATGACACTCGCTTATTTCTATGTAGTATATTAGAGAGTTTTGTCCATTCAATAAGATATTTCAATGAGTTCAACATTTTGTGCTAAGAGCTTCTCGCCAGAGGCGGCTGGGTGATCAAATGGGGAACAAGTAAATTGTTTCAAGTTTATAATAATTCTTTGGAAATTTTGTCAATTACTTATAGAGGATTAACAATTTAACACTTTAATCAAAATTTTTATGTAATTTCAAAACACCCATAAGAATACTTGGTTTTGAGTTGGAATTGTTCCTAGGTATATTACTGGAATAGTTAATCTCTTACAGGTACTTTAATAAATTTCCCTACTTTTTTATGGTTATAACCAATTTTCCAAGTTCTACTTTGATAAATTTTCCTACTTTTTTATGGTTATAACCAATTTTCCAAGTTCTACTTTGATAAATTTCCCAACTTTTTTATGGTTATAAGCAATTTTCCAAGTTCTACTTTGATAAATTTCCTACTTTTTTATGGTTATAACCAATTTTCCAAGTTCTACTTTGATAAATTTCCTTCCTTTTTTATGGTTGTAACTTATAACCAATTTTCCAAGTTCTACTTTTATACATTTCCCAACTTTTTTATGGTTATAACCAATTTTCCAAATTCACATTGGTTTTCTCTTATTTAGAGCGTCAGTGGGTAGAGCCGGAGCAAGTAAATTCAATGCTAGAAATTGGAGCATACCTAAATCAGAAAAGAATAGAAAAGAAAATCACAAAAAATACGTAGCCAAAGACCATGACTATGGAAAATTTGAAATATTGAAAGTAGTGATATCATCAAAAGGAGGCATACTTTCACCGTGAAACAAACAAATAAATAAATAAATAAAATGATAAATATTTTGGAAAGTACATACCCATTACCTTTACAAGGTGGTCACATTAATCTCGACCATTGGATGTGAAATTGGGTAGCTACAATTATTACATTGACCACGCACAAACTTCAAAATAAATTTTTTTGAATTTTGTGACACATTGAAGCTATCAAATTTCACATCGAATGGTTGTAAGCAATTGTGACCGGTAAATTTCACATCGAATGGTTGTAAGCAATTGTGACCGGTAAATGGTCTCATTGTATTTGATCTTTAAATACTTTCTAAATCTTATTTCTTCATGATGATGATGTTACTACCGGGAATGGAGGGTGGGACGTATGTTGAGGCATCAAGCAACCAAACCAACAACGCCCCAAACCCAATCCCCACTGAACAGTTTCCTTTTTTCGCATACATACCGTATGTTTTCTTCCATTGATGGAAATAAGGGAAAAGACGAGGTACATAATCGTGGGGCGATTGCTCCTCCTCATCTGTCTCCACAAACTTCATCTGCTTCATCTCTTTGAGGTTCCCATGAAGAAAAGAGGGAGACCGGGGTCCCCTAATTCCCTGTTTTGAGAGCGTTTCGCGAATTCTTTTTGGCCGCAACCATAGGTTATGAGCAACACACATGATCAAAGAGGAGAAGCTCACTAAAACAAGGGACAATAGGATTTGCAGAAGAAGTTCCATTTTCTTATTTGTGGGGGACTCAGATCCCAAATCCCTTCACCTGTTTAGTAGAAGGACAGTGCCACCACTACTAGGCTAGCTATGAACGCCATTAAAGCTTCTGGGTTTTCCTTCTTATAACCATTATACGTCTTGGTCGTTTGGGACCTCCAGTTACCGGCCAACATTAAGAAGGGAATATTCTATTCCATAGTTTAACAGGTGAAAGGTATAGAATAATACTAGACCTTTTCTACCCATTGTCTTCCATGTTCCCCATAAATCTAAATGATTTTCTATTCCCTTGAATTTTTCCTTGGGAATAATTGATTAATGAGTCTTCCCGTTGACTTTTGTGTGGAAGCACTCATAAATACTCATTAAAATACTTCTAACTACATTAATTAGATGCATTAAATTGGCTTCGTTTTACTTCTCACCGGAGTCTTGGGGGTAGGCTAGGAGATGGGGGACCAGTTGGTAATGGGGTCCATGTTATTTTTTTTTCCGGAAAAACATTAAAAGGCGGTCCTATACCAATGCTATTCCCATCCAAGAATCTTTTTTAGGTATGGATTTAGGGTTGGAAAATGTTTCCCTTGGCACATTTGATTTGTGTGAAAATGTTTTCTAATGTAGTTAAATGTGAGAATATTATCTTATCAACTGATCTTAGCGCATCTTTTCATGCCAATTGACAACTAATTGATATAAAACAATTTCCACACTTAACCACATAAGATAATTTTTTCATATCATTCGAACCAAATGTATAAATTTACCCTTTGGATTTATGATTTTGCAATATAGCACAAATAAAAGAAAAAAAAAAAAGTAGTCTATTATTAGGGTTCGAAATTCATATTTATGAATTCTTTTATTTTTTTTTCTCCTTCATGTTCTTGATCATGGTGGTCCATATTATTGGCCAAAGAGATTTTAAATAGGAAATACTTCTCTAAGATGGATTTTCTGAACGAGAATGTTAACTACATTCCTCAGCTATTACACCCAAACCCCACCTTTCTATTCTTGGTGGAAGTTTTTAACCGTCGGCTGACACACTTTTTCAAATGTGGCCTTCCATCGAGATGGATTTTTTATTCGGAATTTTATAAGTCGATCATCTCAACCACCGCAAAAATGAATCTGTAGAAAAAAGGACAAAGAAAAAAAACACAAAAACAAAAACAAAAAACTTGAACCTTGAAACATACAAATTTAACTTTTTCCTTATTCTTAGGGAATTGATTATGGACTATATTTTACCTTGGAAAATCATTGACCTAAAACAAAAATACATTTATGGTCGACTTAATATGTGTTTCACATTCCAAATCCATATTTGGGTTCGATCTTTGGAAGGGGACCAGGGACCATTATTGAAGTAGACCTCATTTGTACTTTTACTTTTTTATACACTAAAGGCCCATTTGACTCGGTAAAAATAAATCTAGAAAATTCCAAGAGAGAGAGAGACAATTGACTGCTTGGGAATGGGGTTCTAGGTGCTGTGATTGATGGTAGTGAAAATAAAACACGGATACGTGACATTAAGAGCTATTGTGTACCTAAATTCATATAAATAAGTAATAGAAACAATATGGAATCAAAGCAACATCGTGGAATAAAAATACAGCGGCATGCATAACAAATAATACAAGGATTTAATGTGGTTCAGTCCACGAGAAAATAGTACGAGACTTTTCTTACTTCTTCGATAAAAAGAAAATGAAGTTTAACGCTCCAATTTATAGAGCTTTATTTCTCTAAAATAGGGCTCAAAATAGGGCTCCAAACATCTTACAAATGGACAGTTTTTCTAAAACAGGGCCAGTAGCCAAGCTTCAAGAACCCAACAAAACTTCTTCTTGTAGTACTTTCTCTCACTAGAAATCGAGGGCCAAAAACAGGGTACAAAAATACCTACAGTGGGTTCTCTTTCTCTTCTCTTTTCTCACTCTAAAATAATGAGATTCAAGTCCCTTATATTTGGGAGCTTACAAGACACCACAACCTTTAGATTAGATTCAATCTAATGGCTTCGAAATAATGAAGAAATACCAAGAAGAAAATATAAAAAATGAAGCTCACATGTGTGATTGGCTTTACACATACAATAATCTCCCACTTGAAAATAAATCACAAGCTTATGAAAGAACCACCAATGTACTTTCCATCTTCTCGAGGTTACGTCTACTCCAACCCAAAAGCCTTCTACATATCTTAGTCTGTTCAATTAAGACAACCTTTGCGAATATATCAGCAATGTTCTTCTCATTGTGGATCTTTTGTACCAACAGATCTCTACGCTCCAGGGCCAACCGAATGAAATAGTATATGTCCTCTATGTGTTTTCTCTTAGAGTAATAAACTGCATTCTTGGCCAAATAGATAACACTATGGTTATCACAATGAATGATGTATTTATCTTGTTTTACTCCAAACTAATAAAGTAACCTCCTCAACCAAATCATATCCTTTGCTACCTCTGTCAATGCCACATAAATCCACTTCAGTTGATAACAAGGCTGCAATATGTTTCAACCTTGACATTCTGCTGATTGCACCACCATCAACCTTGAAAATGTACTCAGCGGTTGACTTTCCATTGTCACAACACCCTACATAATCTGCATTTAGATAACCAAAGACTTCCATTGATGAGTTTTCAAAATTCAAACGTACAATTCGTGTCTCTTTTAAATATTGAAGGATCCATTTAACTGCTTGCCAATGTTCCCAACCTGGATTAGACATAAATATGGAAACATCTCTCACTACATGGGTAATATCAGGTCTAATACAAACCATCGCATACATCAAACTACCTACGGTAGAAGTATATAGAACATTCTTCATCTTACTTTTATCTTCCCCATTCATTAGAGAGTTATTTTTAGACAACTTAAAATGTGCAGCTAATGATGTGGAAATAGGATTACAGTCAATCATATTAAAGTTCTCAAGATTTAGAAATATATTCAGATTAACCTATACAAAGCTTATCTTGCTTTCTATCCTTTGGAAGTGCATGCCTCATGTCTCTTGGTTGGTTCAAGATCCTTGGTGGAAAAATGATTAGATATCAAGCTTCAAATACTTGATTTCATTCAGATCATTGCTAGCAACAAACATATCATCAACAGACAACAACAAAAAAGTAGAAGAATCACATGTTGAATCCTTAAACTACACACAATAATCAAATTTGCATTTAGAATAACCTTAACCTAGCATAAAAATGTCAAATTTCTTACATCATTGCCTAGATGCTTGCTTCAAACTATAAAATCCTTTTCTCAACTTGCAAACCGAGTTAGGGTTGGTTTTGTTTCCAAGCCTTCAAGCTGACACATATAAATTTCTTCTTTTCACGATCACTATGCAAGAAGTCAATTTTTATATTCATTTATTCAAGCTCCAAATTCAAGTTACCAACCAAAGATAAAATATTCTTATAGAGCTATGCTTAACAATAGGAACAAAACTTTCATTAAAATCAATACTTGATTTTTGCCCGTAGCCTTCCACCACAAGTTTGGCCTTACAAAAGACCATTTGCCTCCCATTTAACATTCATATACTCACATATTCTTCAATGCTTTCTCAGTATGTGGAAGTTCCACCAACTTCCATGTATTGTTTTTATCCAAAGCACCAATCTCCTCATCCCTTGCCATTTACCACTTTCTAATATTAGGGAAACAAATAGCCTCCGGAAAAGACTTAGGTGTTCACCATTAACAATTACAAAGCATAATATAAGGAAGAACAATACGTTTGTATAAGCTTGTGAGGATGTGTGGATCTTCACAATTTTGACATAGATGTAATAGATAGTCTTTCTTCACCTTCAATCAACACAATGTTTTCCGCATAACTAACATCACCTTTATCAACACCATCTTGAGCTCGAATTTGAGTTTTTTATTTTTGCCGAGGTGAAACAATGGAGTTTTGACTTGTATGCCTATAACATGCCTTTCTTGCTTTGACTCTTCTTCCTTGTGTGAAGTAAATATCACATTCTCATTAAAGAGAACATCCCTGCTCCTTATGGTCTTCATAGCAGTAGGATCCCAGATCCTATAACTTCTATCATCACCACCGTATTCAAGAAATATAAATCTTTTTAACTTGACTTCACTTACTCTAGGCACTTAAACAAAAGATTCACACCCAAATGTTCTCAATTGTTCATATGATATACTTTGACCTCTCTAAAAAATTGAAGGTATTTTGCCATTCAAGGGTGTACTAAGACATCTATTGAGCAAATATAGAGTTGTATAAATAGCTTTAACCAAAAATTGCTTGCCAAGACTTGATGGTGAAAAATATGCTTCTTACTCTTCTAATGATGGTCCAATTAATTCTCGCAATAACACCATTTTATTGTGGTGTTATAGGAGCAGTCCTTACCATTCGAATGTCATTTTCTATACAAAGACATTCGTGCAATAGTCACCATCATTATCAGTTTGCATGCATTTATTAAATCTTTATGGTTTTTTTTCAATCTTGACTTTGAAAATATTGAAAACTTAGAATACTTTATCCTTAGATGCCAAAGGAAACAACCAACACTTTTTAGAATAAATATCCAAAAGGGTGAAAAAATAAGAAGCTCTACTAAGAGATTTGACATTAATAGGGCCACAAACATCAGAATATAGTAATTCTAGTGCTTGATTTTTTCTATTAGAACTATTTCTTTTAAAACTAATTCTATACTGACTACCCATGGCACAATGATCACAAAAATCAAGAAATGAATGTTTAGAAATGGGAATAAAATTTTGACTTTGCAATACCTTCATATCATGCTCACTGAGATGATCTAAGCGACTATGTTAAATCTACATGTCCTCTTATTTACTAGTAGTAGCAACGATCTTCTCTACATAATCATTCATTTGATCCGTGCCATGAAGAATATACAAACTTTTATTGTTTTTCTCCTTTAACATTGTCATGCAACATCTTGAGATCTTCTGTGACCCATTTTCAAAAGTCACTATGAAACCAGAGATCTAATTGCCTTGCTGAAATGAGATTTTCCTTCAAGTCAAGAACA